TGAGGCAAGTTCAGAGTACCCTACTACACTGCCATCTTGGAACTCTGACCAAAGCCAATTCTATCTTTTTTTTTTTTTTAATTAATAGATATAGAGAAAAGATTGGTGTTTGCCAGATGCAGTGGTGAGGGGGAGAGTTGGAAGATGGGAGAAACGAGTAAAGGTGGTCAAAAGGTAAAAATAAATAAGAATTTGAAAATCAATAAAATAATAAGTGAGTATGTTGAAAAGATCAGTGAAATTGACAAACATCTAGTAAGAATGGCAAAGAAAAAAGAAAGAAGACAGAAGTTAGTAATATTAGGATGAGCCAAGGGATATTTCTACAGAATTTTCAGACAGAAAAAGGATAAAAGAAAATATATCAAACAAATCTATATGGACAAATTTGACAACTTAGACGAGATGGATCAATTCCTGGAAAAGTACAAAGTATCACAACTTACCCAATATGAAACAGATTATTTGATTTGCCCTATAACTATTAAGGAAATTGAATTCATCCTTATGCCTCCATCCATCAGAAAGGATGAATACCTAACTTTTGTATCAACGTGGACGGGACTGGAAGAGATTATACTGAGTGAAATAACTCAAACAGAGAGAGTCAATTATCATATGGTCTCACTTATTTGTGGAGCATAAGGAGTAACATGGAGGACATGGGGAGATGGAGAGGAGAAGGAAGTTGGAGGAAATTGGAGGGAGAGACGAACCATGAGAGACTATGGACTCTGAGGAACTAACTGAGGGTTTTGGAGGGGAGGGAGTTGGGGGGTTGGGTGAGCCTGGTGGTGGGTATTATGGAGGACACGTATTGCATGGAACACTGGGTGTGGTGCATAAACAATGAATTCTGGAACACTGAAAAGAAATTAAAAAATAAATAATTTTTTTAAAATTGACCCTCAAAAAGAAATCTACAGGTGCCCAAACCTACAGTTAACATCACACTTAATGGTGAAATACAGAATGCTTTCCCCCTGAGATAAAGAACAAAACAAGATGTCCACTTTGACCACCTTTATTCAATTTATACTAGAAGTTCTAGCTAATGCAATGAAACAAGAAAAGGAAATAAAAGTAACATACAATTGCCTATGTTGACAATTCTAAGGAAACTACAAAAACAGTCCTATAACCGATAAGTGAATTTAACAAAGTCTCTGGATACAAGATCAACATACAAAAATCAGTTGTGTGTTTACATAGTAAAAATGAACATATTGAAACTGAAATTAAATATATAATACTATTTTCAATTACTGAAAAAAAAAACAAATAATGTAAATCTAACAAAACATGTATAGGGCTTTTATGCTAAAAATTATAAAACATTGATGAAAGAAATCAAAGAAGTTTTAGATAAATGGAAAGACATCTATGCTCATGGATTGGAAGACTCAACATAGTAAAACTGAAATTCCTCCAAATGTGCAGGTTTAACATAATTCTTATAAAAGTCTCAACAATATTTTTTGGTTGATGTAGACCAGAAAATTCTAATATTTATATGGAAAGGAAATATTCTAGTATAATTAAAATAACTCTAGGGGGGAAAAAGAATGAAGTGGAAGAAATCCACCTACCTAATTTCAAGACTTATATAGCTACAGTAATCAAGAATATGTGGTATTTGCAGGAAGATACATATACAGATTGGTGAAACAGATTAATGAACCCAGAAATAGCTACGGACAATTTAGTTGATTTTTGACAAAGTTGCAAAAGCAATTCAATGGACAAAGTCTTTTCAAAAAATGTTTCTGGAACACTTTGATATCTATAGAAAACAGAAATGAACTTTGATCTAAATCTCACACCTTATACAAAAATGAATTCAAAATGGATCATAGATTTAAATGTAAAAAGTAAAAACTATAAAAAATTTAAAAGAAAAGATAGGGGATAATCATCAGGACCTAGGGCTTAGTGAAATATTTTTAGAAATGACACTAAAAGCACAATCCATAAAAGAAAAGAAGAAATAGCTTGGACTTCATCAAAATTAAAATCCCCCTTTTTTTTCTGCAAAAGACCCAGATGAGGAAAATAAAAGCTATAGACTGGGAGAATATATTTGCAAAACCATATATCTGACAACAACTCATATCTAGAATATATAAAGAACTCTTAAAACACAACATTTTATTTATTTTTAAATTTAATCTAATATTTTCAGTGTTCCAAGATTCATTGTTTATGTACCATACCCAGTGCTCCATGCAATATATGTGCCCTCCGTAATACCCACCACCAGGCTCACCCATCCCTCCACCCGCTCCTTTCCAAAACCCTCAGTTTGTTTCTCAGAGTCCACAGTCTCTCATACTTCAAAATGCATGAAGAAATATTTCACTGAAGAGAGTATATGGAAGCACATAAAAAAATTTCAACAACTAACCTTTGGGAAATCAAATTAAGAACTCAGTGATCTATCACTGCATGCACACATAAGAACAGCAAATTTTCTAATTACTGAGAATACCAGATGTTAGCAAGAATGCCAAGAAACTGGATTTTTTATACATTGCTGGTAAAAATGTAAAATGGTACTATTTTTCTGGAAACGATTTGACAGCTTTTTTTTTTTAATAAAACTAAGCGTGTAATTACCATAGGTCCAAGCATTTGCATTCTTGAGCATTTATTCTAGAGAAATGAAAACTTTTATCTGCATAAAAACCTGCTCATGACTGACTGTTCATAAAAGCTTTAAGGGCCCCAACATGAAAACAACCCAAGTTCCCTTTGATGAATGAATGATTAGACAAACATTGCAAATAAATGGAAAAAATAGTACATAAATAATCAGGGAATACAACTTAACAATAAAAAGGAATGGACTGCTGATAAATACAACTTGAAAAAATCTTCAGAAAATTATGCTGAGTGAAAAAAGCCTGCTTCAATGGAATATTAATCAACCATTAGAAAGGATGAATACCCACCATTTGCATCCACATGGATGGAACTGGAGGGGATTATGTTAAGTGAAATTAGTCAAGCAAAGAAAGACAATTATCATATGGTTTCACACATATATGGAACATAAGCAATAACTCGGAGGACTTATAGGGGAAGGGAGGAAAATCCAAAGGGGACAAAATCAGAGGGGGAGATGAACCATGAGAGACTATGGACCCCAGGTTGTTTCTGCTGGTTTCAGAGAGGAGGAGTGTGGGGTGAGGGGGTAACAGGGTGATGGGTATTGAGAAGGGCACGTGCTGTGCTGAGTACTGGGTGTTAACTAATGAATCATTGAACACTACATCAAAAACTAATTATGTACTGTACAGTGGCTAACTGAACATAATAAAAAAAGCCAACTTCAAAAAAAATCACATGCTGTATGACTCTGTAAATGGAGTATATAATATTTTCTAAATGACACAATTATAGAAGTGGAAAAGAGTTGAATGGTTGCCAAGAGCTGGAAATGATAGATAAAAGAGGGAGAAGAATCATGTGATAAAAGAACATAGATGTGTACATACATACTGTGCAATATTAATTTCTTGTTTTAATTTTAATTATTGTGATATAATTATGCAAAACATAAATTGAAGAAAACTGAGTGAAGGAGATCTACCTTTGAAACTTATGTGCCTTTAAAAATATTTTAATATAAAACTTTTTAGAAATTGGTTCTGAATCCAAGGAAATGAAATTTTAGAATATTTGAAATACCCAAGTAACCATTAAAGAATCAAAGTTAATAAAGTTACATTTTCACCTTCGAAGCAAGATTGGATATGGGATATGAACTGTAGTTATAGCTATATGTCTGGGAAAAGGAAAAGAATCAATTTGTGTTTTGTTTAAAAGATTTGGTGAGTTATTTCTACTGAAAACAAAACAAAACAAAAAATTATGTATTTTTAACTAATTAAAAAAGACCGGAATCAAGCGCCTGGGTGGCTCAGTTGATTAAGCGACTGCCTTCGGCTCAGGTCATGATCCTGGAGTCATGGGATCGAGTCCCACATTGGGCTCCCTGCTCGGCAGCAAGTCTGCTTCTCCCACTGACCGCTCTCCTCTCATGCTCTCTCTCAAATAAATAAATAAAATCATTAAAAAATAAAAAATAAAAAAGACATAATCATTTATTTAAGAGAAACACTTTCTAAAAAGTTAATATTGTTATTTAATTATCATTTATCAAAAAATTAAATACATTTGTTAAATTTCCTCTAAAGGTTATCCTGTTTGAATTTTGTTTGCTTCATAAGCATAAACATCTGCTTATAAATTTTTATTAGTCATTTATATTGGACATTTTGATAGATTATACTATATAAAATTAATAAAATGATCAATCTCAAAAAAGAAAAAGGAGTCTAAAAGTAGTGTTCTGCAATGGACTGCATGTTGCTTTAAAGTATGGAGTATTATGCCTCCATCAGAAAGGATGAATACCCAACTTTTGTAGCAACATGGACGGGACTGGAAGAGATTATGCTGAGTGAAATAAGTCAAGCAGAGAAAGTCAATTATCATATGGTTTCACTTATTTGTGGAGTATAACAAATAACATGGAGGACAAGGGGAGATGGAGAGGAGAAGGGAGTTGAGAGAAATTGGAAGGGGAGGTGAACCATGAGAGACTATGGACTCTGAAAAACAATCTGAGGGTTTTGAAGGGGCGGGGGGTGGGAGACTGGGGGAACCAGGTGGTGGGTATTGGAGAGGGCATGGATTGCATGGAGCACTGGGTGTGGTACAAAAATAATGAATACTGTTATGCTGAAAAAATAAAAAAAATTAAAAAAATAAAGTCTGAGTATTTAGATAAATGTCATCTTTCTGCTAATAATATATTTAAAAGTAAAAGCATAATTATCTTAATTTTTGCTTACTGACTAATAATTAAATGTTGTTATTTTAGGTACCTATTTAGTTTTAATAATATTTTATGCAGCATCCATTTGTTAATTTAATGGCCAGAACTCCTAAAGATTCTATGTTTACAAAAATTCCTTTTGTATTTTTCTTATAAGACTTGGATTGGGAATCGAAGAAGGAAATATCGTTTAATGGGGATTGAAGTTCCGCCTCCAAGAGGAGGCCCTGCTGATTTCTCTGAGCAGCCTGAGTCTGGTTCTTTGTCTGCACTCACATCAGGAGAGGAAGCTGGTCCTGAAGTAGGAGAGGATAATGAAAGAAATGATGAAGTATCCATCTGTTTGTCTGAAGGAAGCTCTCAAGGTATTTCATAAGCTGCACTTCCTAATAGTAGCTTTTCTAAATTTGTTGGATTTTTAACTTGCTTTCAGCTAATTGCATTTCACATCTAAAGTCTTCAAAACTTTTGTTTTAACATTTGAAAAGAAATTGATTTATTTTGACTATATATTTTTCAAAGATTTTATTTATTTGACAGAGAGAAAGAGATCACAAGTAGGCAGAGAGGCAGGCAGAGAGAGGGGGAAGCAAGCTCCCTGTTGAGCAGAGAGCCTGTTTCCGGGCTCGATCCCAGGACACTGGGATCATGACCTGAGCGGAGGGCAGAGGCTTAACCCACTGAGCCACGCAGGCGCCCCTTGATTATATATTTATATATACACACTTACATAATGAAATGATTACTACAGTCAAACTAATTAATACATCCATTCCTCACATAGTTACCATTTATGTATATGGTGAGAGCACCTGAAATCTACTCTCTTAGCAAATTTTTAGTATACAATATTGAATTGTTTATTGTAATAATCATGCTGTACATTAAATCTCTAGACTTATCCATCCTACGTAATTGCCAATTTGTATCCTTTGGCCAAATTCCCCCATTTCCTGACCTCCCTACCATGGTAACTATCATTATGTTCTCTGCTTCTCTTTGGCTTTCTAATAGTCCACGTATAAGTGAGATTGTGCAGTATTTTTAGTTCTGTGCCTCATTTATTTCCTCTAACATAATGTCCTCCAGGTTTATCCATGCATTGAGAATGACAGGATCTCCTTTATTTAAGACTGAATAAATTCCTGTGTGTGTGTGTGTTTATATATGTATATATTATATATTCATATATATAATTCATATATATATATTTCTCAATTTCTTTATCCATTTATCTGTCAACAGATACTTAGGTTGCTTCCATATTTTGGGTAATATAAATAATGTTGCAAGAAATGTGAGAGCACAGATATCTCTTTGAGGTACTAATTGTATTTCTTTTGTTTATATATCCAGAAAAGTGATTACTGGATCACATGGTAGTTGTATCTTTAGGTTTTTGAGGAACCCCCATACTGTTTTCCATAATGGCTGTGCCAATTTGCATTCAGACCAATGGTGTACAAGGGTTCCCTTTGCTCTCTATCCTCACCAATACCCATTTTTTTATCTTTTTTTTTATTTTTAATGCCTCCACCTAAAGAGCCTCATTGAGTCATCACAATACTTATCTATCACAATAATGATCTCTCACATTTAGAAATGTTGGTTTTTGCAACAATCCATAATTATAATTAAGTACATGATTGTTTTTATTTTATTGAAATTCTAATCAATTTATGTTAGAACATCATCAATGTATTGTAATAAGAGGGTATGGTATAATGTGATTAACATCAGGGTAATAGGCAACCTGGGTGAAAGTTCTAGATCTTTCACTAGATGATTATGTGACTTCAGGCAAAACATTTAATTCATGGGGCCTTAGTTCCACATCTGTAAACTAAGGAAAATAGGCTGGATCATCTTTATAACAGTGCTCAGTGTTTCCCTAGTGAGAATTGAAATAATAACATGCACTTTTTCAATGAACACTTTTATTGAGGTTTAATTTACATATCATAAAATTCATCTATTGTCAATGTAGAATCCCATAAATTTTAGTAAGTTTTATAGAGTTGTGGATTATCACCATCACGAAAATCCAACTTTAGAATATTTTCATCACTTCAAAAAATTTGAGCCCATTTGTAATCAACCCTCATTTCTACATCCAAACCCAGGCAACCACAGATCTACTTTCTGACAGTATAAACTTGTATTTTCTGAATATTTCATATGAAAGGAATCATACAATATATAGCCTTTTTGCAACTGAGAGAAAGAAAAAGAATCTTGCACTGACCCATTTTGTTTAATTTACTTATCAGAATATTAACAACATATTTTCCAGTTTAATTTTTGCCTTTTAAATTTGATTATGGATGTCAGAACTTTTGTTTATAATATTTATGTTGCCAAATATATCAATCTTTTTCTTTATGGTTTCTGACTTCCGTGTCATGATTACATTTTACCACGATGGAATATGTTAACATACCCCCATGTTTGCATCTTATATTCTCATGGTTCATTTTTACAACTTGATATTTATTTGGTGTAGAATTCATTTTATTTCAAGATATGTGAGAAAAACCCTAATTTTATTTTTCCAAATGGTTAACCAGTTGCCCTTACACTGTTTCTTAAATAATCCAGCATTTTCCCAGTGAGTTTAATTGTAGCTTTTTTTCAAGTATTGTATACATACACACATATATGTATACATATACATCTTGGGTTTCCTATTATGTTACACTGATCTAATTATTTATAACTGTGGCTTTATAAAATATCTAAATATCTGGTAGTGATCTGATTACTCTTCTTAGCTCTTGTAGCACCAGATTCTTCTAGATTGACTTTGAATTGCTTAATCATACCTTTCCCCAATCCCTCTCCCCCAAAATCATTTTAAGATTTTTTTATTGATACTGCATTAAGTGGGTAGTAAAATATGGAAAGATAAATTCAGTTTTGCATGTGTTAAGTTTTAGATGACATTAGGACTTCCATGTGGAGCTGTTCAGCAGACTCATGGATAATGTGGGTCTGAAACCCAGAAGAGGAGTTAAGACATGAAAAGAAATATAGGAACCACCCACATTGAGGCAAAAAAAAAAAAAGCCTAGCCATAGAAATAGAAAATATAGTTAAGTGAGAAAATGGAAAATAAAAAAGATGTATAAGAGCTGTGTGTTGAGAAATATCCAGATTTGGGGGCTAGAGAAGAAAAGGGAGCCATCAAAAGAATATTCAGATACAGGAGAATGAGGATGTTATGTTACTACTAAAATCAAAGAAAGAGATTTCAGAAGAAAGAAATATCATTATCTTGGTCATCTCTTGGAAGACAAATAGAAATTTCTCTCTTATGAGGCATCTAAAAATGGCAAAATATATATAAGTGGACAATATCATGGTACCAGAAGATGAGAGACAGGGATATGAGGAGTTGTTCATTGAGTATAAAGTTACAATTTTACAACTATAGTATAACTGTTAGACGACAGTTCCTATAGTTGACAATAAGGGGTTATAGACTTAAAAAACTTGTTAAAAGGGTAAATCATATTGTGTTCTTAACACAAAAAAAAGGACACAAGAAAACTTCTGGAGGTGATGGATATGTTTATTACCTGGATTGTGGTGATGGTAACATGAGTGTATTCACATGTCCAAACTCACCAAATTGTATATATTAATTATGTGTACTTGTTGTATGCCAATTATAACTTAATAAAGAAGAAAAATAAAAATAAAATTTTAAAAAGAATGGGAACCCATTGAATTGGGTGATTAAGGGATTCTTTCAAAAAACAATGTGTGTTGCAAGTTAGAAGCCAACAGATTGCAATAGGTTGAGTAATGAATGGCATATAAAAGCTCTTAGTATTGCCAGGGCCATATATTTTAATACCAAGTGTTTAAAAATTTTTGTGAATGTTCAGTTGTTTCCTTTCTCTCTCTCTTTCTCTCTCTCTCTCTCTTCCCTCCCTCCCTCTGTCTCTCTCACTGTCTTTGCTGTTGGTATTGACGAAGATGATAACACAGAATTTGGTGTACAGGAAAACTGTGAAGTAGGAAAAAAAGAGAGGCTATTTCTTCATTTCCAGATCCCTTATTTATAATCTAATTGGTCCATTAAACCATTTTTGTCTTCTATTAGTCTTTACTAAATTATATGTGCCTGGGAATACTTGAATATTTTCAGTGATTTATGAATGGATCTTTAGAGAATGATGGCTGGCAACTATTTGTAAGATTATGGGGTTTTGTGTTTTTCCGTGAGTGGTGGGGTTTTGTGTTTTTCCGTGAGTGGGTGGGAGAGCTATGAAGAAATATTCTGATTGAGGTAAATTACATAAGCCCCTAAAGGGGAATTTCAACCTAAGACTTCCACTTCCCCACTTAAAAAGGAATTTTAAAAAATCAGTAGTTAATGGGGAAAAAGTGAGTTAATTTTAAGGTTGCTAATGGACCACTGCTCCTCCACTGCCATCCTTTGTCATTTAATAGTGTGTTCTCTAGGTGGCTGGCATAGCAATCAAGACCTAATGAGAAAAAGGAGAGAGAGAAGTTAATATATGAATCAAAAAATACTTGATGGGAAGTGAGATTGCCTAGAATTCCTTTCAGTGGCTTATTTTTTACAGCTGCATAATAACCTTTTCATTCTCATCAGAAGTTGGAGCAGAAAAGTATAAAAGAGTCTTAAAATACAAAAAGAGCCCTTTTTGGTACTATTTCCAATGAGTTCTGTACTATTTTCTTTCTCATTTTGCTGATGGAGAATGCTAATCTCATTGATTTAGCTGTGTGATTCTTTTGTGATGATTAAGTGAATTGTATCATGTGGCCTAGACTAATATCATAACTTTAAGATATGCTAACCATATTCTTTTTCAGTTATGAACATGTAGTTAAATGTGTTTACTTTGAGATTTCCATTAGCTACATCTGAGAGATATGGAGACAAAATAGAGTAGTTGCCCATACTATTTCAAAATTCTAACAACTTGAAACACAGTCCTTTATAATATATCTGTTGCTTCAAGAAAATTAATCTTCTAAATAAGAAAAAGAAAAATATCTTTAAAGCAGGAACATTTTATGTGTTAAAAATCAGTTTAAAATTGTGTTAAATTTTTCTAGGAAAAAAACTCTACATGCTGAAAGAAGAATTTTTTTAATATATTTTTAATTTTTTAAGTTTTGTTTTGTTTTGTTTTGTTTTTTCGATTTTATTTATTTATTTGACAGGATGAGAGAGATCACATAGGCAGAGAGGCAGGCAGAGAAGGAGGAGGAAGTAGGTTACCTGCTGAGCAGAGAGCCCAATGAGGGGCTCTGGGGCTCTATCCCAGGACCCTGAGATCATGACCTGAGCCGGAGGCAGAGGCTTAACCCACTGAGCCACCCAGGT